ACTCCCTTGTTCTTTGCCAAAGAAGCTGTCACCCCTGCGGGAGGAGGTGGAAGTCCTTCAATCTCAGTAGTTGAACCACCCATGTCATGACCACCTCCCCCGAACTCTGAATCTAATCCCCAATCATCGGCATCCAAGGATTGCGGCACTCCAGCTGCTTCAGATGCCACTGGAGCACCTCCAGCTGAGGCTTTGGATGAGCTAAACAGCATATCAAGTGGATCATTGACAGAGGTTTGAACAGTATCTTGAACCTTGGAACCAAAATCCATTGAAGGCATTCCAAAACCATCCAGGTTTATGTCAGAATGAAAACTTGATCCCTTGAAACCGACACCACTCCCACTCGGTCCGCTCGAGGGAAATGCTGTAGTGCTTGGCTTTGAAGCATTCTGGAAATCCCCAAATAAGTCTTCGCTTGAATTGATCTTTTGACTCTTACTTGTTGAATTCAGATTCCCGGATGATTTAGATCCGAAGTCAACTAAAGAACCAAAGGGATCCTTGTTAGAGCTCGTCTTACCACTGCCGATGGTTGAACTCATACTTGGACCTCCAAGATTCGGAGCCTTGATATTGGTGGTATTACTCTGATTACTATTCCTACTGCTAAGATTATCAAAGCTCCAATTTCCACTATTTTTACCCGGATTACTACTAGCTTTCGGCAACGAATCGGCCATATTTCGCATCGAAAACGAATTTATATTCGATGCGGCACCCAACGACACCGAAGCCGGAGCAGCATTCTTCAATGGAGCATTCGCATTGCTCTTACCCGATCCCAGGGAAGAACTTACCAAATCGCCGAACAGATTCGGATTCTTTTCAACAATTCCAATGGCCGCAGTGGAACCAGAATTCGCCGTCGAACACCAGCTCTTCCCAAATATATCACCGACCATGGAAGAGGGCGGATTGGACAAGTTAGGCTGCGCCGGCTGATGCGTCCATGAGGGCTTGTTAGGCTGCCAGGCCGGCCTCGTCTGTGTCGAGGAATACGAAGAACTAGAGGAAGCGTATGAAGAATATGATGGGGTTTTGTTTTTCTGATCGTTGAGTGATTTGGAGCGAGAGGTTCCAAGTCCCAAATCGAAATCGAAATTCTTCCCAAGATTAGAATTCATGGCTAGTTGAATTCAAATCCCTAGATAAGGAATCAAATTAAGAATTGAAAAAGGATCTATCCTTTTCAGAAGCGTACCTAAGCGGAAGAGATCAAGGACTCGGCAATCAGGTGGAAAAACAACCTATAGATCCGACGACAGTGGAAGGCGGCGGCGGCAGCGGAAGGTGCGGCGGAAGATGGGTAGAAATGGGGACGGTGGCGCGGGACAAGGTTCCAAAGAGTCTCTCGTCAATCGCGTTCTTTGTAGCCTCACCGACCTGACTCTTGCCGGTCAATATTTAGTTTTTATCATTTTTTAATGGAAACAAAATAAAATAATCCAATATCATGGGAAGAGTCATGTTCATCTAATATGGTATAAGAGTCCTGCCCTAAACTTAGTCGTGACAATACATTGTTAAATCCTCAAATATCGAATAGAGGACTCTAGAAGGAAGGAGTCAAACCTCCTCGAAGGTAGTAAAAAAATGACTAAGACTCCAAAGGAGTCGAGCCTCGATTAAGGGGAGGCGCACTTTGTTCGAGAGGAGGTGTTGGATGATGAAAGTCCTACATGGACTAATTTAGGAAATGATCATGGATTTATAATCGAGGAATACTCTCTCCACAGGACAATGTCGCGGTATTGAGCACGAGATTATATTCTCCATTTCAACCTATATTATATATATATATATATTAAAAAAAAAATTAATTTTGAGACTCTGAATAAGTATTTAATGTATGTTAGATTTATTATTTATGATTTTTAATTATAAAAAAACTCGGAATAAAATAAGTCAAATTAAAGAAAAAAATATATAGATGAAATACGCTCTCATTCTTCTTTCACTGATCGACACGTACAAAAATGTGTCTTAAAACTTGTATATCTAAGTCAAAATCCACCGCTAGAAAATGTAAATACGCTACGAATACAGACCTTATTTTAAGGGAAGTGCAGGAGGGTCGCAGCCCTAATGAAGCTAAAATGTTGAATTAAGAACGGTGAAGGTATTGAGAGCACCCATGCAATTGAAGCGCCCAATTTCATACTTCTCCGGTGGGTGAGTGGCGGTGAGATTGATGTATGAAAGGTGAACGTTATTACAAGGCATGATTGAACTGCAGTCTATGTTTACTGCGAACTTTGTGTTGTAAGTTCCACTGATGTTTCTCATGTTCATCTCACTCAGCTTCACACTTGATGACTGATAAAACAAAAAACAACAACACTCGTTACGTATTGCTGTTAACCTTATAGTTTTAATACGTGTCTGTTAGGGAGGGGTTTCCACACCCTTATAAAGAATGTTTCGTTCCCCTCTCCAATCAATGTGGGATCTTGCAATCCACCCTCCTTGGGCCTAGTGTCCTCGCTGGCACACCGCCCGATGTCTGACAATGGCCCAAGCCCCACTGCAAGTCGATATTGTCTGCTTTGGCTTCAGTTTTAAAACGTGTCTGCTAGGGAGAGGTTCACACCCTTATAAGGAATGTTTCATTCCCCTCTCCAACCAATGTGGGATCTCGTAATCCACTCTCATTGAGTCCTAGTGTCCTTACTGGCACACCGCTCGATGTCTGGCAATGGCCCAAGCCCACTACTAGCAAATATTGTCCACTTTGACCTCACAGTTTTTAAACGCATTTGCTAGGGAGAGGTTTCCACACCATTATAAGGAATGTTTTGTTTTCCTCTCTAACCAATGTGGGATCTCGCAATCCACCCTCCTTGGGCCTAGTGTCCTCGCTGGCACACTACCCTGATGCCTGGCTCTGATACTATTAGTAATAGCTCAAGCCCATCGCTAGCAAATATTGTCCATTTTGATTGGAGAGACTTTCACACCCTTATAAAGAATATTTCGTTTCCCTCTCTAACCAATGTGGAATCTCGCAATCCACCCTCCTTAGGCCCAGTGTCCTCACTGCACACCGCCCGATGTCTGGCTCTTATACCATTAGTAACAGTCCAAGCCCACCACAAGCAAATATTGTTCATTTTAACCTCACACTTTTAAAATGTATATGTTAGTGAGAGGTTTCCACACCCGTATAAGAAATGTTTTGTTCCCCTCTCCAACCAATGTGGGATCTCGCAATCCACCCTCCTTGGGTCCAGTGTCCTCATTGGCACATCGCCCAATGTTTGGCTCTAATACCATTAGTAACAGCCCAAACTCACCGCTAGCAAATATTGTCCACTTTGACTTCACAGTTTTAAAATGAGTCTACTAGAGAGAGGTTTTCACACCCTTATAACGAATGTTTTGTTCCCTCTCCAACCAACGTGGGATCTCACAATCCACCTTCCTTAGGCCTAGTGTCCTTACTGGCACACCGTCCGATGTCTGGCTCTGATACCATTAGTAATAGCCCAAGCCCACCGCTAGCAAATATTGTCCACTTTGACCTCACAGTTTTAAAACGGTCTGGTAGGGAGAGGTTTCCACACCCTTATAAGGAATGTTTCATTCCCCTCTTCCACCAATGTGAGATCTCGCAATCCATCCTCCTTGGGGCCAGCATTCTCGCTGGCACACCGCCCGATATCTAGCTATAATACCATTAGTAACAATCTTTGTGATCAATCGTACTGGGTATCAAAATAGTTTACCTCTTTCATGTCACAAGAATGGTTAGGACAATAACGTTGATCTATGATAATGGGATTTGAGACATTGTTCATCACAATGTTTTGAAACGTCAAATGAGCAGCATTACTCGAATAATTTCCCGGCCATGTCTTTACCCTCACTCCATTTTGAGTATCACTTATGGTACAATTCTCCACTCTTATTCCTATCACATCCATCTCGTTCTTGTACCTCCCTAGGCTCCCAACGCTGCATTACATTGTAAGCTTCACAACCCAATTCTTTAAAATAATTAACTTCGAAAGGATTAAACAATACCTGATTCCATGACCTGGGCCACATCTAATATTCGAAACTAATACATCGAAGCTACCAGGTCCAATGGAAACACAATCGTCACCAACTCCGATGTGGGAATTGGCAACGTTGATATTGGTGGAGTTACTAATATGGATGCCATCAGTGTTTTGACTATTCCAAGGCGCCGTAATATTAAACCCATAAAGATGAATATGGTCGCACCCATGCATGGCTACGTGAAAGCCCTTGCTATCTACTAGGCTTATGTCTTTCACTATCGCATGTGACACATCTGTTAGCTTTAAAGACTGTTTTGAACAAAAAAAAAAAAAATATATATTAAAGTTTAAAATAAGACGACTCTCCACAATGGTATGATATTGTTTACCGTGGTGAAAATGGGGCAAGTCATGCGGCGGCGGCAGGCGGAGCCGAAGGACCAGGTTTGGGCTCCTTGGCCGTTGAGAACGGCGGATCCGTCGAGGCCGGTGAGGAGGAGGTGGCGGAGGGAGTGGAAGTGGATCCAAACGTCGGTGGTGAGTTTGGTGGGAGCAATCAAAGTGGCGAAAATGAGGACTTTGGGCGAGAGGTTATTGAAACAGGGGCCGGAAAATGTGACTCCGGCGACCAAGAAAGTGCCCTCCGGTATTAAGAAAATGGAGTCTCCTTTGAAAGCACAAGCTTCTTCCCACGCCGCCATGAACGCCTATAATGGGTTGACTTGGTTAACCGAGCTACTCGAATAGAGTTCATAATTCAAACCTCATTTTTATGTTGCAGATTAAGTTTTTTAATTATTTTAAAAAAATTGGTAATTTATTTTCAAATATCAAATATTTATCAGTCACAACACATTACTAATATCAATTAAAAAATAAAAAAAAAATTTCAATTTTTTAAAATTAATAAAATTTAAAGGTGTAATTTGGTAGATAAATTAGTGAAAATTTATAATAATAATAAAAATAAAAAAGTAATTTACCAAGCTGTTCTCCGTCTTCCCATCAGCAACAGCCCCATAATCATTTACATTAAAAACACCCCGTCCACTCAAAGGAAATTCGCCGGACGGCTCCGGCGCAAGAGAATCAAATCCACCGTCGGCAGATTCAAGAGGCGTGTCCGGCGAGAAATTGCTTGCAGATACAGAAAGGGCCAGAAGAAAAGAGAACAAAAATGGTGAAAGCTTCATGGTTCTTGAAATTCTCGGATGCAGGAAATTGTGGAGGATTGGCCAGTTATATGTTCTGATGAATTGATTGAATCACTTGGAGTTTCTTCCTCCTACTTATAGCTTGTTCGTTTCAGAACCTGAAATTAAAATTTCAATAAGGTTCGTTTCTGGTCGTATTTTCATTTAATTTTCGTTTGCCATTTCTTTATTGAGTTTTTTAGCTGTTTTCTTTGGTGAATGCCAGTTATTTAACTTCGCATCATGTTAATTTTGTTTGAAAATGAAGTAATGATGAACAATGTAACAATCGGAACTATTTTCTTGAATTTAGGGTTCTTATGTTTGATACGCTTATCAATCTTTTTTAGGTTCTCCGGTTTGGCTTTTGATTCTGTAAATTCTGTAAGGAACAATGATCCGAAATAGAATTGCTACTCAAAAAGTTTTTTGAATTAGATTGAATCTGAGAAGCATCGAGCCACTGTAACATGACTTATGAATCATGTCATGTTACAAATTAAGCACAGAAGAATATCAGAAAAGTAAGCAAAAAAAAAAAAAAAAAAAA